GGACACTTAGCATATTAGGCTTTTATTGGATGATAGAGGTGCTAATTATCACTACAATGGCAATCTTATCTACATATATAAAAGCCTAAGTGACTGGTTGACCAACTGGTTGTCCAGTAGCTATGACGTGCACTGACCACCAGGGGGCAGATGCTCAATGCAGGAGCTGCCCCCTGATGGTCAGTACACTCCCACAGTGAGAGCGCTGCTCAGCTGACTAACAGGTGCCAGACGCTGGGCTCATGGCTGGCGAGCACAGCTGCGGTGGCCCAAGCCTATCCCGTGGAGACTCCCCCTGTGCACCCCTCCCCCATCCAGACTGGGGCCCACATCGGGACTGACTGGGCGTGAGCCCGCAGCCACTTCTTGGTCATGGGCGTGCCAGTATTGCCCTAGGACGGGCGCAGAGACTGCAGCGGAGCAGCAGCGAGCCTACCGAGTGTTGGCAGCAGTCGGCCCAGCAGGACTGGGATGAGCAGGAGCGGTGCAGTGCAGTGCAGCGCCAGCCCAGGCTCAGGCTCCTCCCTGGCTGCCTGCCGCTTTGGCACTACTACATCCCTCAGGGGCTGTAGGACTGCTGGTTTCAGTCGATGCCCACAGGCTAGGCCTAGGGACCCCCACCAGTGCACAAATCCGTGTACCTGGTCTCTAGTTAAAACATATAAATCTATCAAATTAACATGTTGTATACTTTAAATTTACACATGTCAAATATATTTCAATTAAAAAAAACTGTAAATGACCCCAAATTATAGCCTTCAAAATTATAGCCATGGATGATGTGCCCAAAATTATATATATGTAATGTTATATAAAGAAAGGAAGTATGATATAAAGTTATAGAAATGTTTTTTTAAAAAAAAAAACTAAGGATTTTTTCAGAATGTTAAAATGCTAACTAGAGATATGTTCGAGAAGTAGGATTGCAAGTGAAGTTTTCTTTGAGAGTGCCTTTGTATCTTTTTCACACTGGAATATATTAAAGCCATAAAACTTTTTTATTTTAAAAAAATCACCTTGTAACACTGATTCATAGGCTTAGATCTAGGTAAATAAGGAGATGATGGTCTATTCGTGTTCTCAAACTGGTATAGTGGAGAATGGAATAAGCCAACTACATCTTGTAGGAAAAAGGGGCTCTGTAATAAATCTGACTGAAAGTAACCTTACAGGTTGATCTGATCATAAATTCCTAACTGGGCAGGTCATAGTGAGAAAAACATTTTTAACTTACTATATTTAAAAATAAACAATTTAGGTACAGAGTAAAAAAAACAACCTCAGGCCCAGCCAGTGTTGCCCAGTGGTTTATCGCCGACCCATGCACCAAGAGGTCACCGGTTTGATTCCCAGTTAGTCAGGACACATGTCTGGGTTGTAGGCTTGATGCCCAGTGGGGGGTGTGCAGGATGCAGCCGTTTGATGTTGATATTTCTCTCTCATTAATGTTTCTATCTCTCTCTCCCTCTCCCTTCTTATCTGTCTAGAAATAAATTTTTAAAAACCACTTGTATTTTTTTAAAAATCTCAATTTGTACAAAAGGACATACAGGAAAGCCGATGGCAATTAAGACTTTCTGAATCATATATAATCTTGTATTTGAAAGCACTTAACTGCTAAACCAAATGACTATCTAATACAATAGTATGAAGTATAACAAACTTAGAAGTGAAAAGAGGCAATGAAGGAGGAAATGTTTTTGGACAAGAGTGATACCATGTAAGCAAGCCAGAATTACCTGCTGCTTTCCCCCTAAAACAGCTCCACTTAATCTAACTTTTTATAGTTTTTTTTTCTTCTTTCTTTTTCTGAACCTATCAATTTACTTACAGCTCACATTTTTTCAGAATAACTCCTATGCACAGCTATTTGCTGAAAACTCTTGCAAGGAAGGTTGTGTTTGGCATGGCCTTGCTTAAGTAAGGATCCTGGGAAGAGATTTTCAGGTTTAATTTAACTATATCCAGTGCCAAGACTGAATTTCAACTCAGCTAGTTCCACAAGCCACATGTGAATTTCCTAAATATCCCAAGTTAGAAACTCCTCTGTTAAAGGGTCATGTCTGAGCTGGATATTTATTTTATATTCTGCTACTTCACTGAATTCATTTCTCATTCCAGTAGTATTTTGGTGGAATCTTTAGGGTTCCCCACATACAGTATTATGTCCTCTGTGAGTAATGACAGTTTTAACTGAGTAGTTTCAAGCTGCCAACACAACCAGCCTCCTCACACTCTGATAGATATTCCTTTAATTCAGAAATCTACCGTGTTAGATAAATGATTGATTGTTGACATTGTTTCCCTTTTTTTTTGTTTACCCAATTAGTAGATTGCCACTGTTTTTGCATTTTTTTATATTTTCAGCTTTTGTAACTTAACTCTAATTTTTTTAAAGCTTATTTGGTCTAATAAGTATATTTTAGTACCTAATGTTTAACTGAGCTTTTATGAATGCCACTTGATGTAATTTTGTATCATTGCACAAAAACTGAAATAAATTTCAAGTTTTAAAGAAAAAAAAAAGAGAGAATAGCTCCTATATCAGTGAGCTTTCAAGTAGCAATTGGAAAGGAAGAAATAAAACTCTATTTGCAAAGGACATGATCCTATATATAGGTCATCCCAAAGAATTCACAAGAAGATACTAGATATAATAAACTCAGCAAAATTACAGGGTATAAGATCAACACACAAAAGTCAGTTGTATTTCAGTGTACATGCAGAACAGTTTGAAAAGGAAATTAAAGAAGCCAGTTTTAATTCTTCCTTCTTTTATTTCTTCTTCTTGTCTGACTGCTGTGGCTAAGATTTCCAGTACTATGTTGAATAGAGTGATGAAAGAGGACATCCCTGTCTTGTTCCCCATCTTAAGGGAAATGCTTTTAGTTTTTGCCCATTGAATATGATGTTGGCTGTTGGTTTGTCATGTTGCCTTTATTATGATGAGGTATGTGTTCCCTCTGTTCCCACCTTGCTGAGTGTTTTTATCATAAATGGATGCTAGATTTTATCAAATGCTTTTTTTTTACTCTATTGATATGATATGATCATGTGATTTTTATCCTTCATTTTGTTTATGTGATGTATCACATTTATTGATTTGCAGATATTGAACCAACCTTGCATCCCAGAAATAAATCCCATTTGATTATGGTGTATGCACTTTTTAATGTATTGCTGGATCCAGTTTACTAATGTTTTGTAGAGGATTTTATCTTCTATGTTCATCAGGGATATTGGCCTATAATTTTCTTTCTTTGTAGTGTTTTTTTGTTGTTGTTGGTTTGTTTGTTTTTTTACTTTTGATGGGAATACAGATTGGTGATGACTGCTTCGGTTTCACTAGTTGTAACCTGTCTATATAGATTCTCTAATTCTTCCTGTTTCAGTTTTGGAAAAGTGTATGTTTCTAGGAATTTTCCACTTAGTCCAGATTGTCCAATATATTGGCACATATGGCATATAATATTTCATAATTCTACTATCCCATTTGAAAACAGAGAATAGGAGAAAAGCCCCAGATTGGAGAATCCCATTCAGGAAAGAGTTTGCAGGGGATATGTTTAATTTACTTTTCATGGCGGTTTCCTTTCTTTTATGAACATTAATAAACTATAATATTTTAGTAATACCTATCTTTTTCACATGTAAAAGTAAATTTGTAGATTATGTTTAATCTTTTTAATTAATAAATTATTTTTATGCAAGCATTTTAAGACTCATAATATAGTTGACCTACCAGAAAATTTCCTACCATAGAGTTTAAGTTTTTCAGATGAAGGAAACAATATTTTCATTAGAGTTGTCAGTAATACTATATTTGAAGAGAACTTACTTAACTCATTTAAAATGACTTTCTTTTAGGCTTTGAAGGACAGTAGAAAGCTTCAAAATCTCATTGGTATCTCTTATGGACCATGTTTCTTAAAAAGAGAAATGAAGAAAACAAAAGAACTAAGTAAGAAGACTATGAGTTTACAATGGTGTCTCTCCATTCCTTGTTTGTAAGCTTAGATAAGTATTTTAATATTTTCAACTTTAACCATAAAGCCTATTTAGAGATAAGCCTATTAATTCTCCCAAATTTAAAAGACTTCTTTATTTTTTTTCCAATATTCTTTCTTTTTATCTTTATTTTTGAAAGTGTTACATATATATTCCCTTTTTCCCCCCATTGGCCTCCTCTAGCCCACCCCCACCCCAGGCTTTCACCACCCTATTTTCTGTGTCCATGGGTTATACATATGTACATGCAAGTTCTTTGGTTAATCACCTCCCACCTATCCATCCTCTCCCACCTTCCATCTGAGATTCCACACTCTGGTCCATGCTTCCATGTCTCTGGATCCACTCCGTTCATCAGTGTATTTTGTTAATTAGATTTCACATGTGAGTGAGATCATGTGATACTTGTCTTTCTCTGACTGGCTTATTGCACTTACGGTCCCTGCATGCTGTCTCAAAGGCTAAGAGATTCTTCTTTTTTACCACTGCATAGTATTCCATGGTATAAATATACCACAGCTTTTTTATCCACTCATTGATAGACTTCTTTATATATTTCACTACTGGAAATGTGATAGAAATAGTATTTAAAGAATAAGAAGCCACATATCTTTTACCCCAGGATATGTTATTTCAGGGATTCCTCTTTAATGTAAAGGGAAAGAATGTACCTTCAAAACTGTAATTGGAGTTTTTTTTTATGTGGTGCTCATTCTTTAATATACAGACAGTTCTCAGGTTACCTCGGATTCTGTAGTTTTGTGGTTACGTCGCCATCTCCCATTTATTTATAAAAAAAAAAGTTCCGTCATTTCGACGTATGTACATATGTACTTTATGTTTTTTATTATTTATTTCCCAAAAGTAAAGGTCAAGAATTGTTATCTTTTTTAAAAATTTTTTTACTGTTAGACTTCATTACTGCTGTGTATGTGCTCCATGTGAGGGACGTAGGTGCTTATGAAGGTGGGTTCCGACTTATGGCGAAAATCACGTTATGTCGCGCCGTAGGAACGGATCTCCGACGTAACCCAAGGACCTACTGTAGTATGATAAAGTACTGCATTTTGTATTTGCTACCTATGCATATGTATTACTTTGAATTTTTTTCATGAAGTTGTTTAGTCCAACATGAGAAATTATTCACGTTCCATGTTAATTCTTAACATTTTTTTCCTTCTAGTGACAAAAGTAATAAAACAAAAACTGTTTGAAAAGAAGAGTTCAGAACTTTCTAACAAAGGTAAAAAGTTGTATTTTAATTTATTATATAAAAAGAATCCTTTCATCTCATTTTACCATTTAAAACCAATCATTATGAGTCTTTTAGTGTACTCTTAAAAGACCAGGAATCTTCTTTGAAAAATTTTATATTGCATTTAGCAGAAGACCAGGTCTGATGAGCTCAACTTCACTGATGACTGAACTTTTAAAATATCTTTTGAAATATAAGTTTCAGTTTAAGATTTGTAGTTTTATTAAAAGTTCTTTTTTGAGAATCCAGATAAATGGGGCAACAATGCATTAATATATAGCAGGTTTTAATGGTGAATTAGAAGGAGACGCAAAGCATAAAGTTACTTTGTAACCAGTGTTCTGAAAACTTTCAGATCATTAATGATGTTGAATCTACTGTTAACTCTTATGCTTCTGAGCATTTAACAGTATAGGTAATTAAATTAGTAGGTTTTAAGTTCCCATAACACATGCACATCCAACCTCAGTAAGCAAAATAATCATGGGCTGTTAAATATTAAAACCTTTTAACCAGCTTAAGAGGCATCATTTTAATATCACTAACATGAATGCCATTTAGCAATCTCTACTAAAAACTAGAGGTAGGCCTTGAAATGCGTGGGTAGGCCATGTTTTAATCTATCATTTTTGAGTACCAATGATGACTATTGAGGACCAATAATTACTATGATTATTATCCTCACAGCAGCTCTGTAAGATAGCTGCTATTATTGCCATTACAGATAAGGAACAAGGTCACAGAAAATGTTAAGTAACTTGTCCAAACACTGCTACTTAAGTGTCAGAGAAAGGATTTCAACTAAAGACCAGTCTGATCTCAAAAAGTATGATCTTTTCATTATTCCATATTGCCTCTTCCTAAAACAAATCAAATCATCCAGTCATCCCAGCTTTCAGATTCAGACATGAAGCATAATTGAAACTGGTTCAGCCAATCTATTCTGTTAGACTGTGTTTTAGGATCTCTAACAGCTGGTGATGACTTTGCAGTGGAAAGTACTAGGATTCCCTGCTGGTGGGTTCCAGCTCAGTCACAGCAGGCCAGCAGAACCCCTCCTCCAGAACCCCTGTGGGAAGGGAGCTGAGCAGGCTTCCTGAGCTATTCAGTTGAGCAGCTAACTTCATTGTGATCCCAAGCATTTAAGAACATGATGGTAACCCTTTTCTTAAAAGGCTTGAGATTTCTTTTCTCCTGCCTGGAGAACTTGATATATGGGTTTCAGTGGTTTCGTTCTCTCTAAACGTGACAAGTTTTAGAGAATTATAATAGGAAATTGGAACATTTATTATTTCCCAGTTAGAAGAAATCTTGACTCTATATATTCTATGCCAATTGTGTGATTTTCTTTTAAATCTGTGATTTCCTGGGACTAATTAAAATTAGGCTTTATATACTTGGCTTTTGCCAACAGTTTTGGAAAATGAGGTAGGGAAAATTATAGAATAAATAAGTGAATTTTCACTGCTGATAATTAATGGAGAAAATTTTCCAAAAGAATTGTTTCCTTCCCTAAACATTTATTAAGACATTAAAGTTATTTCCATGTGTTAAATAATTCTTGCCTTTCAGTTATCCAGTATATACTGATTCTTTGTGTGTTTATGCATGATCGGTCTTAAATCTGTTTTCTAATATTTTAGGCATTAAAACTGATTTAGCCATTACCAAGTTTTCCCTAAGGACTAAGTATTTCTTCATGCATAGAGAGGATTGTATCATTAAATCGTGTTTTTAAATTTCTAATAAGCATTGATTTTTTGTTGTGGTTTAAATGAAAATTGAGTTAGTATGTACATAACATACGTTATATTTTAATATATATTGTATATACTAGAATATATGTCATCTTTCATTTCAGTTTCTTGGCAAGAACTACATTAGCTCCTTATATTTCCCAAGGTATTCAAACCTTCAGTAACTCTTCAACTATTTTGAAGTAATGCCTGAAAAATAAGACTGAAGTTTATTTTCTTTATAATTTGAGTTTGAAATATATTTTTTAATTAATTTATTTTAGAGAGGAAGGTGGGGGAGAGAGAGAACATCTATTTGTGGTTCTACTTACTTATGCATTTATTGGTTGATTCTTGTAGGTGCCCTGACCAGGGATCAAACCCACAACCATGGCATATTGGGATGACGCTCTAACCAACTGAGCTAACTGGCCAGGGCTGAGCTATATATTTTTACTGGGTGCTTTTCTTTTTTTCTCTTTATGTGGTTCCTAGTATTATGTGTATACTAGAGGCCTGGTGCACAAAATCGGTGAACGGGTGCGGTCCCTAGGCATGGCTGGCGATCAAAGCGCTAGCATCTGGCATGGAAGGGCAGGTCCCAGTTGACCTCTGGGCCCCCGGGCCCCCATGAGGCCTCTTACGCCTGAGGCATGGTGCCCGAGTCCCCACACAGAGATGTGGTGAGCATGGCCAGACGCTGCAGGCTGGGGCATACTGTGGGCCTCTGGGTCGCCCAGCGGCACCGCACAGAAGCTGGGTGGGCAGCATGCTCTCTCCCGGCCAGCCTCACCGACCAGCTCCTGCATGAACCCACAGGGAGCCTGACCTGGCCCCTGCGGTCCTGGTGGCTGCTGCCCAGCTCACCTGGAAGAGGCCACGTGGGTGTGGGGCGGGCTCCTCACAGGCTCCCAGCACCTGAGCACAGGGGCTTCCCCAGCACATGAGCCCTGGCATCCCAGGGGAGGGTAGCAGGAGGAGTGAGAGCGAACTTGGCGGATACCCTGCATTCTCACTGCACCTCCTTCCCCATCACACCCGCCCCAGGTAGCTGGCAAGAAGTTGCAGCGAGTTGACAACACCCGTCACGTTCCACACCACCCCCTGGTGGTCAGTGCATGTTATAGCGAGCGGTCAAACTCCCGGTCTCCTGGTCGAATGACCACCCAAGGGGACAATTTGCATATTGGGCTTTTATTATATAGGATTTTTATTTTGGTGGCATATTTTGTTTTGTTTTATTTTTTTGGTTAAAGTTGATGTGCAGCAAGACATGCACATATATATGTGAATTTTTTGCTAAGCTAATAACTTTAAACTCTTTCTATTCATACATTCATTTTAAGAGGACTTTGTTAGTTTTGTCCAATATCTCAAACTAGTTTGTTTATATGTTTCTTATTTGGAGACCTGGCCTTGAACATCTTATAGAAATTTCTACTTTTTTCTTTTGGTATGCTGTTACCTAGAATTGTCTAAATTTAAAAATGTTTTGTATATCTTCATAATGTTGGAAAGTATATAGTTAGGAGATATATAATATAAAAATCCAGCCCTGTAATATGTGTTAGATTTCTTTTATTAGGTAATTATGAAATGAGAATAAACAAATACTTGTTTCATTATCAAAAGAATGTCCTTCAGCCCGGCCAGTGTGGCTCAGTGGTTGAGCGTCAACCCATGAACCGGGAGATCACGGTTCTATTCTGGTCAGAGAACATGCCTGGGTTGTGGGCTCAATCCCCAGTAGGGGATGTGCAGGAGGCAGCCGATCAATGATTTTCTTTCATCCTTAATGTTTCTTATCTCTCTCTCCCTCTCCAGTTCTCTCTGAAATCAATAAAAATATATTTTTAAAAAAGAAGAGGAATGTCCTTCAGATTCTTATAAAATTTTCTTAGAATAGTTAAAGTAGACAATACCAGGAGAATTCCAAGACTAATGCTGTAGTGGACCCTTCAAATTGGTCCCTTAGTTGTATATTCTTTAAATTTCATTGCTGGCTTGTTTAGCGTCAGTTGCAGTCTTTTTTACACGCACAGGAGTATACTTGTAAAAATAACACTAATGCTTTAAATAAATAGACATCTGACACCGATTCTTAAAACTTTATATAACTTATTCAAAAAAATTGAAAAGAGTACACTGAGATTTTTATAGTTTTCAAATAAGGGGATGCCTTGATTGAGTGTATAATACACTCTAGGTTTTTTATAGTTTGCTAACTACAAATTTCTTAAACAAAGGAAGGCTTCTTTTAAGTTACTTAGGAAGTAAGCCTAACTTCACTTTCCTTAATAATATTGGCTTTATGACTATTAGAAAAATAATGAAATGAAAGGTTCTTTTTCTATTACATTTGGATGTGAATTTTCATAATTATTTTTAATTTGTTATGCTGAACATTTAAAACATGACCATTCAATGGGTTGATAGAGATGGAATGTCACATTATCATCACATGGTAAGGCATAAAATTTACTTTACATAATCATCCTCAACTTAAAACAACTTGAACAAATATCCCTAAGTCAATAGATGGCATTATATAGTACTTAGTATTTTCATTTTTTCTGGAGATATTAGAAAATGCCATCATTGTTTGTCTGTGTCTACTACTTCCAATAAACAAAATGTTTTTGAAAAGAATGTAAGCAAATTATAGAGCAGTTGCCAAGATATGAAATCTAGACACTTAACTTCAGTCCAAAACATATTTTATTATTTTTGAGAATAATTGTGTAGGTTGTAGTATGCATATTTTAAATGAAATGTTAACCATCTGAACTTTCTATTGTTCAAAAAAGTTGCTTGTTTCAGCTGTTTGTAATACAAAATATTTCAGCATTTCTATTGCTAGCCTTAAAAAGAAAAGCACAGACTATAATGTTTCTGTTTTCTTTAGCTAACTTAACTGTCTCTTACATTGTAAAATTCATCTTAGTTATAGGATTTTAAAGTTTTCAAATTTGTGGACTACAGGACAAATTTTAAACTTTTTCTGTTCTAAGACTATAAAATAGTTTGATATTGCCTTTTCATTCTAACCACCCACTGAAGTATTTTTCAACTTAAAAATATGTTGTTCTTTTTCCCACACAGTCTTGAAAAAAGTATTCATTATATCAGCTAAATAATTTTACTCCTAAAAGGGTGTTTTTTTCTGTTATATCTTAACAATTAAAGAATATTCTTTTTCGAACAAATACTTCAGTTTTAAAAGCAATGAAGTTTAATGTTTAGACATTAAGAGTTTCAGGAGAAACAACAAAAATGTCCTTTGTGCTTCAACATTCTAAGTTTATCAGAAGATTTTTAGAAAATGGAGATAATAGTTTTGGTCACACAAATATCCATTAATGTACAATTGTAATCCTCAGCTCTTTGTAAGGGTTCAGCTGTCATGTAAGCTGTACCTGGGTTATACCTTTCCTCGTAATAATGATAATGCCCTTTTTTACATTATTTAGCACTGTTTGGGGGATACGTTTCAACTGCTTACTTGATATTTGTCTAGGATTTAAGGAAAAACTGCTTTATTACTTTTCACAGCCTTTTAAGGAATTTTTTCCATAATTTAAATTTATTTATATTATACTAGAAGTATGATAATTTTTATCTTTTAAGTAAGTAATCATTTAAAAAAATTAAACCATAGACTTGAATTCATTTAATAGCAATTATGTGTTTAAGAGGTATAAATAACCTGCTACCAGACATTACAAATATCCAGGTGCTCTGTATGTGCTGATGACAACAAAATTGAAACGAAAGACTGTAATAATTCTGACTGGTTTTCTCTGCAGAAGATATTGATTATTTGTGTGTGGTGAGAGATTTGGAAAATTCAATTAAAGGAGTTGTGCAAAGGTTTCATAAATTTTCTTTCTACAGCGTGTACACAGACATTGTTGCGTATTAAATCAATGCAGCACTTCACAATATATTTTCTTTGAAACATAAAAATAAATAACATTTAAACAGTTCTGCTTACTACAGAAACAAATTTTATTTTCTGTGAAGCATTTAGTCATGTGCTATCACTGACTCATACACATTTGCCAGCTGTAACAAATTTTATAGACATTTTCTCCAGAGACATAGCTCACATACTATGAATTTTTAAATGAGCAAATGGTGAAGAAGGGATGTCAGCAATATAAAAATTGATCAGCTAAAAGATAAAAGCATAAGTAAAGAGATTTGTATGGTAGTCTTAATAGGTTTTATTAAATAAAAATACTATAAAAAGACAGTAATGAACAGACTGAAGACTAACTGTTCTTGAGATGGAGAAAAATTATTCTGGCACATTTATTAGAAATTGCTTTTATGTCACCTGACAGTTGAACTTTTTTCCCCATTTTAACTTAGAGTAGTCAGAAAAGCTCCTCAAAAAAAAAAGCTAGTTAAATTCTCTAAGTGGTTTATATATTTTAAACACATATGTAATAATAGATATTTATAGTGTTATATAGCTAATTATATAGTTTAAAGCAGAACTTGTGTAATAAGTAAATGTTAGGTGATTTTTTTCCTTCAGCTCAGATCTCACGTAGGAGGAAAGTAGTCATTTTAATTCATGCTATTCACAAATTGGGACTCCAGGCCTGTCTACTGCTTCTCTCTCTACCTGGGTTTCTCTTTCTTTCTTCTCCATCTAGTAAACTTCTGCTCATTCTTTAAGGCCAGTTTTAGGTGCCACATTCTCTGTGAGACTCTCCAAGCTAAATTGCTTCATCTTCTAGGCTTCTACAACGCTTGTCTGAATGTTTATAAATGTATCACGTTACAGTGTTGTGTATTGTGATTGTGTGGTTACAGGGCTCTTTCTGGGGAGGACCTCCGCAAATAAAAGCCATCTCTATATTGTAGCCCCGCAGCCTACTATAGAGCCCGGATAGAAGGTCCACAGTGCATTTTCAGTGAATGAATAAAAACAAATGGGCACTCTAAGAATTTTTTAAAGGAATTACCAAAATATTTTCAAATACTTACAAATTGCTATCTCCTTAATGCCTCATTCACTCAACATTTATTGAATACCTACTATGAGCCAGGCACTCTTCTATACACTAATGAACAAGACAAGAATCATAGAAGCTAGCACAAAAGACAATTGTAATAAACCATAACCATACATTATAATAATAAATCTCTTGGCAGTTTTCATCCTAAATTTTTAAATATACATTCTGAAACAGAGTCGGGCAAATCAGTTGAAATGAGAATTTATAGCCCCAAAGCTGCTAATTATAATGTAAAATAAAACTTTATGTTTGGGCTCTTTATTTTAATTTCATTTTGATTCAGCATTTATTCTGCATCATATACTGTGACAACTTGCATTGAATTATTTTCTGGAAAAAAATCTTTTTTCTTTCATACAGAGTTACGTCAACTTGACAGCTATGAATTCCTGAAGGCCATTTTAAATTGAGGTAATGCTTCACCTTTCTAATTAAGTTTAGCCTTGTTAAATTTCACTGCTTTGTTCAGATGGAAACATTTTATTGACAGCAAATTTGGTACTGTCTACAAAGAAAATATGGCCATGTGCTTTGGAGCTTTAGTTGATTATATTTAATCTGTTCTGATAAACAGTAGGAGGGAAGTTTGACAAAATCTGTGAGTTAGAGAACTTAAGGTTTTGATTAAGAACTTAAGAATCTGATTTTAAGAAAACACTGTTGATCTGACCAGGCTAAGTTTAATTCAGAGCGAGGATATCTAAGTAAATATAAAGAGGACCCTTAATTGAGTACCTTTAGTAGAAATATCTAACTAGATACTGACAGGTGAGTTATAGGGCACATCTGTCTGAACAAGATATAACAAGTCTATCAATTTGCAAATGTGCTAAATTGATTAATTACATATTAATTAGTTGTTCCTTTTCTTTAAAACAGTTCCTGTGGATTCAGCAATACAAGTAAAATATGACATATTTCTAAATAGCTTATTATAACTTAGCCAGCTAGAAGCAACATGAGTCATGATGTGTTATTAGTGTTTACTATACCTGTAATTGAAGGTTCACATTAAGAACTACCATTATCCCAAACTTAGTGGCATCAGTATTAATTTTCTTAGAAGCTAACCAGATGTTGCTGCTATCTCTTAGAAACAATGCAAAATGAAATAATTCTATTCTATTCTGAAAATACATTTCTTTGGAAATGGTATCTCAAATAATTGGTATCAGCTTCCTGACAAACTAGCTCTTCTTAAAATATCTGCAAAGCACCTTATATAGTAAATGTCACTTTCATTCATTAAATTGTTCATTCTGTTGTACACAACAAATAATAGCTTATAATAACAGCTAATATTTATTGAGCACTTTCAGTATACCAGGTACTGGTATAAACTCTTCATAGATATCCCATTTAATCTTCACAATAACTTATGTGAAGTAGATATAGTTATTGTCTTTATAGGTAAGGAAACTGAGAAACAAAGAAGTTAAGTATCTTGTTCCAGAATTACCTAAGAGACAGGCAGGAAACTAACCTGTGTAGTTTGGTGTCAGTCAGTACTCTTGCCCACTGCACTGCAGTAATCTGTGAATGTCGGGTTTCACTACTGGTTAAAGGTTTTAGATCCTATTAATCAGTAAGGATATCATATGTGCACACATGCAAACATGTCGTTATTATAGGGTTAAATCTTTTATAAAATTTCTGATCCATGGAAATCCAACAGAAAACTATTAGATGGTGATCATAAATACATATTCACAGTTACACATTGGACAAGTGAACAAACACATTTAGTGTGTGACAGTCTCATTAGTGACCTTTAGAGGAACTGAGAATAGCTTTGCGGTCATTGAATCTAGTAAAGATCATTACATATTAGGGGTGTTCTTCTGAGTCTTTAATTTGAGTAGTACTTTCAAAAAACTTGAAAGAATTAAGGTTGACCTACCAGGTAACTTCCTTTTCCGTGGGAAGCAACAAAGAGAAGTAACAGTGAAATGAAACTTGACTTACTTTTGAGGTATTTCCCTGGGTTCTTTTGACTGTTTTCTTTTCTCTTTGGGTACTTTCTTCATGATCTCATCCATTCCTTGACTATAGTTCTTACCTTAGTGTATATTATTTCCAAATCTATTTGTGATCCTCCTCCTGATATAAACCCACATCTCAGCTGCTATACATTGTCCCCCAAATATGCTGATTTCATCCCCCCCTCAACTGTTCTTTATTCTACCTTCCTAGGGTTTGTGTTCATCTAATGTTAAGGCTCAAAACCTCAAAATTCTGTCTCTCTTTTTGTTCCCACATCCAAACTGCTGCCATGTCATATCACTTCCAAAAATGTTTACTTCTCTTTTCCATGCCCACTACACTCGTTTATTTCTTCATTACCTCTCCTCCAGATTATCATCATCCCCATTGTAACCTGCCTCTCTGCCCTTTGGTCCCTTTTCTATATAGCCTGTCTTACTGCTGGACAAATTATGCTTTAGAAGATATTACTCTACCATAGTCACGTAAAATCCAAATTTAAAAACTCCCTGATCTGACCACAATGTGCCTTTCCAATTTGTCATTGTGCCTCAGTCATTCCAGATTATTTGCCATTCTCCAGACACATTTCCTCATTTCTTTACCATTGTTCTTGTCTCCTCTATTTGGCATACCTTTTCCCCCAGCATTGTCAAAATTTTGCCCATCTTTTTTTTTTAAAGGAGTGACTTTTTTAAAATATATTTTTATTGATTTCAGAGAGGAAGGGAGAGGGAGGAAGAGATAGAAATATCAATGATGAGAGAGAATCATTGATCAGCTGCCTCCCGCACACACTCCACTGGGTATCGAGCCCACAACCTGGGTATGTGCCCTGACCGGAACCTGGGACCCTTCAGTCCACAGGCTTAAACTCTATCCACTGAGCCAAACTGGTTAAGGCAAAATTTTGCCCATCTTTCAAAACCTGCTTATAACTCACCTTATAGGAGGCTTCCTCAGATTCCTCTCTTCTGTGTTCTCATTGCTCTTTTGTGCATTTGTCATAGCTGCCCAACTGGCATGACTAAGGGAAGGCATTAAACTATCTGATTTTGTCCTATGCCTTGGAAACCTCTATCAGTGATCATATCCGTGGTGCCACTGTGGCCAACTTCTCTGTCTGCACATCAGCTTCTGCCCTCAGTCAGGGGAACCACCCCATACATATTCACTCCCAGAGCCTTTAAAAAGTGAAGCCTTGCCCGAGCCAATTTGGTTCAGTGTTAGAGCGTTGGCCTGCGGACTGAAGAGTCCCAGGTTCCATTCCGGTCAAGGGCACATACCTTAGTTGCAGGCTCCTCCCCGGCCTGGGCCCTGGTTGGGGTAGGGGCAAGTATAGGAGGCAACCAATCAATGTGTTTCTCTCACATTGATATTTCTGTCTTTCCCCCTCTCTTCCACTCTCTCTCAAAATCAATGGAAAAATATCCTCAGGTAAAGATTTAAAAAAAATGAAGTCTTATAAAATAATCCTATATAATAAAAGCCTAATATGCTAAGTGTCCAGTCATCCATTCAACCAATCAAAGCGTAATATGCTAATGATATGCTAAGGCCGCTCAATTACTCACTATGACGTGAACTGACCACCAGGGCGCAGATGCTCCAACCAGTAGGTTAGCTTGCTGCTGGGGTCCAGCTGATCGGGACTGAGAAGGCTGGACATGCCCTGGAGCCCTCCTGTGGTCCCTCCCCTGCCTGATCGTATACCAGTGAGGTCCCTCGGCCTGGCCTGCCCCCTCTTGCAATCCTGGACCCCTTAGGGGATGTTGGAGAGCCGGTTTCGGCCTAATCCCACAGGCCAGGCTGAGGAACCCTACTGGTGCATGAATTTGTGCACCGGGCCTCTAGTGAGATAATATTGTAGGGGACACTGGGATGCTTTATCTAGAAATAATGTGGGTAAATCACTTCGTTAACAGCAGTATGAGGCTTAGTATAAACAGCACCATGTATAATATCAACCTTGTGAAACCTAGTAATCAAGCTAAGAATATCAGATTTATGTTATTATACACATGAAATAATAATATATGGCAAGCTATGATAGTACTACAAGTTCAGACCCTTCGTCTTTTTAGGGTTCTGGGCAACAGCAAATTCACAAAAGGATTGAGTCCAAAGAGGATTGAAGTATCAACTTGATTTTTGGAGGAACTGATAATCTCCAATATAGGAGGTTCTCTGGTAGAAGCTTGGGGTCACTAATACGGATTGTGCCTAAGGCAAAAGTGGGACCTCCCTTCTTCCACATGAGTCTAAATCTGGAACTCCGTGTGCTCTCCTGAACCTGACAAGAAAGCTGGATCTTTAAATAGACTCCATGTCCATGTGCCTCTGCAACAGTGAAGACCACACACCTGCCTTATATGTTTTGTAGGAGGTAGAATGGGCTGGTCTCTTCAACATTAATTAGGAACACCAAGACCCCTTGGACTTGAGACTAGACAGTAAAAGGAAAACAAAATAGCGGGGAAGAGTGTTGTATAGAGTAGTGGCATGTCCTATTAGTAGTAACATGTGGACCAGTGTTCTGGACTTTGACCATTTAAATGTGTCACTTTCATGGGGTATAGAAAGCAAAAGAGTTGACAGAAGTTCCTTCCTCTTCAGACTGAGAAGTATAAACATTCTTCTCCAAGTACCAAATGAAGAATAAGCAGTGGTATAGTAATAAACAACAGACAGATCACCTCAGGGTGATTTAATGAGGTCGCTTGTAAGGGTTCATGATTTTAAAGTCAGTTCTAGTTATTCCACTCTACATTATGGCGGACAGAGGGCCAGCCAGACCCTAGTAATGGAAACTTTGCACTTTACTAGGAATTTGGCATTTGAAAAATGAAAAGTTACTAATTTTAACAGGCTGTGTAAACATAGTAGGCAGAGAAAATGTGAACAAAAAGGCAGAAAATCAGAATAATTGAATGGTAGAGTCCAGCCCCATCATTGACAGTTGTGACCGCCAGGCTACTGAGTTCAGACTTTATTCATTAGGCAGAAGTGGACCGGTGAAGGAGCAATCCAAAATGTTTCAGAAAGAATAACTGTATGAACAATGAATCCTGTCAAAATGCTGCTCATAAACTGCATCACTGGGTTGCTTTTTATTTGTGTTCTGAGATATTCCTCTCTAGAACAGTATGGCAGTGTAGAGATAACATAGTGCCCCTCCCTACTCTTATGCTACAACATACCTCACATTGATCAAAGCATTTATTTTTGCTGGATCCTGAATTTGGCCTCAGAATCTTTCTCAACACAATTTTCCTAGCAGCCATGGTCAGCTGATGAAACATCTTTACAGGCACTGGCATTGTCATAGAGAACAGGGTTTGGATTAGATGTCCAGCACCAGCTCTGTTACCTATTTAGCTGTGTGGCCTTAAACAAGATACTTGCTTCCACTAAACCTGAATTATAAAATGGGACTGATAACATTTACCTGTGGTATGGTACAAAATAATTAGTGCCTCCCCCATAGTAACTAATAAATTGGTCTTCCTTCCTTCTATAGTGTTACCATTAGTTCTGGTAACTGTGTATCAATAACATATAAGGATATTAGAGTGATTCAGTTTTCTATAGGAGTTCAGACCAGATTCAAACCAGAGTTGGTGGAAGTTGATTGTCTAATTGGCAACCGATCTTATAGGATAAGAAGAATATATATAGGGAAGGTCAATGCAGGGGGCGGGCTGGGGGGAAGGAGACATATGTACTACTATCTGTAATACTTTATTTTTAAAAAAATATATTTTATTGATTTTTTACAGAGAGGAAGGGAGAGGGATAGAGAGTTAGAAACATCGATGAGAGAGAAACATCGATCAGCTGCCTCCCACACTCCCCCTACTGGGGATGTGCCCGCAACCAAGGTACATGCCCTTGACTGGAATCAAACCTGGGACCCTTGAGTCCACAGGCTGATGCTCTATCCACTGAGCCAAACCAATTAGGGCAATCTGTAATACTTTAAACAATAAAATAAAATTGGGGGAAAAAATAAAAAGAAGAATATATATATAGACTCTCAAGAATAGCAGCCCATCATGCGTTACTTCATAACTACCAATGTAATCAAGGAAATGGGTATTTCAGGAGTGAATGGTCCACATGCCCTATGGGAATATATGCCATCAGTTGCCAATGACAGCTTTCTTTAAAGGCTTCCTTTCACACAAGGGTCCTAAGGCCAAATAGAGAAAAACTTCTACCACCACTAGGAGTCCCCAGAGGGACACACTGTGAATAGGAATGTCAGTAAATACTGTGTTTTGGGGGTGGGGGCAGCTGTTGGAGGAAACACCTGCTGCAAGGCCCTTAAGGCTTATAGACAAAAGGCATGTAAATTTTGGAGTTTTCGATAGGCCCTGTTGGAGTTTTAGAACACTCTCAGAAGTATGTCAAAATCCATATTCACATAAAGTGAGGAGTGCTATGTCAGAGTAGTCATATTGACAATTATTTCTGAAGGTGGATCTTGCTTAGAAGGCTCAAAAATAAGCAAATGAGAGATTACCAGTATCTAAACTAGGTATGAAATCACATGATAAATGGGTGTTTAAATCATTTCTTATCTCACGTATGCGATGCATGTTAATTTGGAAGCTAATTCTTGATGATTTAATAATAATAATCTTTTATATCCTGTAGGCATTCAGAAGAAGTGTATTCACTCTGAACACCAACTTCTGCATCTGCCTGATCATATTTAAAGGAACAGAAGAAATGTTTGTAATTAATCTGCCCAGTAAATACCAGATCACAGCACTAGGCAGGTGCGTGTCTAGATAAAATTTCTTGCAGCTAATTTAAACTTTCTACACACACCAGTAGATAATCTCAATGTAAATAATACATTTCTTCTTGACCCTTTAATGAATAAGCCAACATGTAGACAAGTATCTTGACTTTTATTCTATATCATGTATGTTTCTGTATACTTTTAGCATTTGTGGATAGATTTAATAAAGCATTTATGAAAATGGCACCTTTGGTAGAGCTGTATATTTTAAAACTCATTAAATCTAATGGTGAGTAGAATTAGGTACCAGTTGTTCCATTTAAGGACCAGATGTGTATTAATTAGATTCTTTTTAAAACTTTAAAAATTTATCCAGAAGTTTATTGTGTAGCTATTATCTCAAGGGTGAATTTTTATTATACTCTATAGTTATTTCTATTGTAGAGAAAAAATATTTTAAAATTTTTAAAATTTTCACACCTTTTTTATAAAATACCAGATGCATTTTCAATAGACATTTAAATATGAAGTTGTTTTTAAACTGAACTGTGCAAATCACTGAATTTAAAGAAGAGAATTTTCTTATGGGGCAGTATGTGATCCCCTCCAAATTATTTTGAAGCATTAATTCTGTTTCTCTATGGTGTTGTTTTATATCATCATGTTTGTGCTATCACAAAATAAAGGAGAAGATGCCCTAACCAGTTTGGCTCAGTGGATAGAGCGTCAGCCTGCAGACTCAAGGGTCCCAGGTTCGATTCCGGTCAAGGGCATGTACCTTGGTTGCGGGCACATCCCCAGTGGGGAGTGTGCAGGAGGCAGCTGATCGATGTTTCTGGCTCTCTATCCCTCTCCCTTCCTCTTTGTAAAAAATTAATAAAATATATTTTTAAAAAAATAAAGGAGAAGAGGAATCACAGAATATGTTATAACTTGATAACATGATTTCCCCATAGGGGGTAAATGTTACTCCTTGGTACTTGACCTAAGTTTTAACAAAATTTGTATAGGATATTACCATGTCATTTAATTCAGTGTATCATAAAAATAAAAATACTATTTGAACATCTTAAAATTTAACAAATTGAGGTTGAAAATAATTACCATTTAGAGAAATTTAAAATTCACCTCTTAAAATGAAGTTATTTTTTAAAAATATTATTTAAATGACAAATACTAAACAGTAACCCAATTAAGCCTAATTGCCTTCTCTAAAGTATTAGTACTATTTAAATAAAATTTTTGAGATAATCGGTCTGCTAAATATTAAGAATATTAAGAACACTTTGTGACACAGCCTTATAGAACATTACCTAAAATATACCAAAAAGGATCATTCCTTTGTGTTCTAGCATTGAAAACCTTAGAATGTAAGCCAAAACATGTAAAGAAACCTACTTTAGTAAGGAAATAAAGAGTTAAGAAATAGATTGGTTTCAGATGTAATCCAAGTTATGTAGGTATGTGCTTAATGCTATTAAATCAGTTACTGTATATTTGACCTCTTGATATACTAAGCTTTTGCCTTTCAGAACAGCTGGGTCTGCTAAGAATCATTTCTCAGTTCTCTTCATTGTAGATCAGATGACTCTCGCTTTATCACCCTTGGAGGCCACATGAAGGACAAAGCAGAAAGATCCACACACAAAACTAATGTTTATATGGGGGTGGGGGGTGGATACACTTGGCCCTGATTTTCCAGTGAACATAACAGAAAAAAGACCAATTGAGATTTGAAACCATTGTGTTACTCCAGCCATTATTTAGTTGCATCCTATCCATCTCTTACTCTGTCTCTATTGAACAGAGAGGCTCCTTGGGCTGCCTTGACTTTTGTGAATGTTTCATTCACTTAGTTGTGGTTCATCATTTGGACAGAATGCTACATCGGGGATTTTTCTCCCCTCCCTATGGGCTCAAGGCAAAATGACTTTGTGTGCCTCATATTTGATACATGAACATACACCCTATTCTCTTCATTTTAAGAAGCAAAAAATTATTGGCAACAGAGAAAACTGCATTTCTCAGAAACAGCCCTTCCCTCTAAAATGAAGTTGAAAATAACTTAGAAGGGTTTATTTTTGACAGGTATATTAGTGAAGAAAGTGATAAATCTTTAATATTTTTATAAAACCTAAATGTTTTGTATTAAAACATCCCTATAATCCTGGGTGTAGCTGACAGAATTGCCTATTTCTGTGATTTTAATTCATCACTGGACATTTTTGATATTTTGGAACTTAAATCTCTCAAAGTACAAAGTTGACTCTTCTTCAAGTGGTTTCTAACAGAGATAAGAGACCTTTGACTCTAGGTAATTGCTATAAATCTCCATGAAAGCTACAATGTAAGTAACATTAGATTAAATCCTCTGGGAAATATTTTATTTACAGAATTTACCTATAAGATACCTTGAATATGGGCACATTCTATTTTACTGTTTATATACTACTTTTATTTTCAAATAACATTTCTCTGTTCCAGTTATTCAGAAGTTAGAATTCCCTCATCACTGACTTAAACCAACACCCTGTGCTAACACAAGTACACTATTACAAAAAGTAAAAAAATAAGACTACACCAGCCAGCCAAGATGCTGTCATTTGGGCACACGGCTTACAGATGGTGACCATGGACAGCGATGTTCCTGCTGATTCGGCAGTGACTCAAGGCTGCTTTTCTCTGCGGACTTGCCCTTTGAGTCTTTATGCACATTTACTTTGAGAAAGAAATACTTCTTGATTTTCTCTTTGTCTAAACCCACTCCCTTTATCAGACACATACCTTCTTGCAACAGCCTATAGTTGTCAATGTCAAAAGCCAGATTTTCTTTATGCTTGCATTGTTTTAAAATACACCACCACTTAGCTAATTTGCTTTCATGCTGTCTTAGGTAATAGATATATTCATTAAAAATGTATGTTGATGGGCCCTGGCCAGTGTTGCTCAGTGGTTAGAATGTCGGCCCATGGACCAAAGGGTTGTGGGTTCAATTCCCAGTAAAGAGCATGTACCTGGGTTGCAGCTTCGATCCCCAGCTCCTGTCAGGGCTCGTGCAAGAGGCACCCAATTCCTCTCTCTCTCCTCCCCCTCCCTTTCACTCTCTGGAAAGCAATGGAAATGGAAAAATATCCTCAGGTGAGGATGAAAATATATATATATATTTTTGATGGGATAGTGGTTGTTTTATTTTTATCACAGATTAAAGAAAACACATCTTTACATGAGAAACTCCAACATGGATATAATACATTATTTTTACCAATGGAATACTAGCGTAAATATGGGCTTCTGCTAATATAAAGTGATACAGTAATAACAAGGCCAAGTTAACATGAAGCATGATAGGAGTCAATGCCTATGGCACGGGTAACCTTGAACCATCTATATATATAAAAGCCTGAACGACCAGTTGACCAGTTGCTATGACATGCACTGACCACCAGGGGGCAGATACTCAACGCAGGAGCTGCCCCCTGGTATTCAGTGCACTCCCACAGTGGGAGTGCCACTCAGCTGACTGACCCGTCCTGGCGGCCCACCAGCCCAGCGGCAGCCACTCACTCCCTCAGAAGTCCTGCAGGTCCAATCTCTGGAGAATGGGCCAGGCACTGACGGACCAGCACTGCCAGCAGATCCTGACAGCGCTGGCCTCCTGGAAGTCGGCCTCAGGCACAGGGGCTGCTTCCCCTCCCTAGACGCTCTGCAAGGAAGAAAGGATATAAAAGCAGCTGCCAGGTGGCTCCCAACAACCTGTGCGAACGTTAGCAGGATGGATCCGGATCCCAGGCCAGCAAGGGCGTCCTACCACCCACCCGGAGGGCCGATCGCCTCCCAGCCCTCCCCCATCCCATGGGGACCCCACCCGTGCATGAATTCATGCACTGGGCCTCTAGTGTTAAAATAAAAAATAACAGGATAAAATCCTGCATTAGGGCGTTTAACATAAAGTGATCCTGAAAGCTTAGAACCTAGTGTTCATGAGAAATAAAAAGACTTCACTCAAACCACTTAGACTTAAATTCAGGAAAATTCATTGTTTAATTACACTAAAGTAAATCAACATTCTTGGCAATAAATAAGTTTAATCTTTCTGCCTTGTTAAAAAAATTCAAATTTGCACATGTAAAGAATTAAATACACATTACTTGCATTCTAAAATGTAAAGAAAACTGTATTTTTAAAATATTTATTGATTTTAAAGAGAGGTGAAGGGGAAAAGAGAAACATCAACTTGTTCCACTTATTTATGCATTCGCAAGTTGATTCTTATATGTGCCCTGACTGGGAATCGAACCCACAATCTTGGTATACTGGGATGACACTCTAACCAACTGAGCTACCTGGCCAGGGCAAGAAAATTACATTTAAATACCAAAATTAGGAATTTCCTTTAAAAAAGAGGGGGAGGGGGGCTGGCTAAATTCCTCCATTAAACTTGCTGTATTTGTAGATTTTTTACAAGACAACGAATTATAGAGTACATTTTCTAAATAAATACTGGAACGAAAGGCATTTTTTGTTTTCCCACTTAAATAACTGAATATTAACAAAATTCCAGTATGTCTTGGCCAGTGAATAGAAAATAAAAGCCTCAATTGGGCTTTGGTCCCCAAATACTTTTATTTGTGTAGATAAAAATGACTTTTCATTGTTTCCTATAATTCCATAATACTCAAAAATGATCATTTTATTTATACATAGCAAAAACTTTTTAGCACTGTTAACATTTTCACAGTTGTCTGGAGATAGAGCTAGTCGGTTTTCTTCTGATTTCTTCCACTTTTGGAATCCCACATGATTATAATGTTAAAGTAAACCAAGAAGAACAGGAATTTCAAGCAGGACACAAAACACACCAAAACAGGAAATAAGTCCGGGAACTTCGGAGGAGGATCCAGCGTTACAGTCATTAATGTCAGAAGGACCATAGTGATTGTTGACATAAGAAACTGCAAGGAGAAAGACGTATTATGAAGTAATATAAAAGAAATTTTAATGTAACATTAAATTTGCAGCTGTAAATCAGTAGAATTGAAGGGTAGGGTTGGGGGGTACAATCTCTTTATGGTGGATCTCAACCTAGACTGCAAGTTAGGATCAGCTGAGGTTATAGAACTCAGTGCCCACACCATACCCAAGACCAATTAAATCAGTTTCTGAGGTAGGCCTTAGTATTTTTTAAAGTTCTCCAAGTGATTCCAATGCGTAGGGAAAGTCTAAGAACCCCTGTCTTATATTTCATA